AGCCTAGGCGGAGTAGTCAAATGCAGATCCACTGAGCTCTCAACACAGACAGCATCGTCAGAAGAAAAGTTGATAAAATACATAGAAAATTTGGTATTGTTTGAACCGAAAGCACTGTATGGAACGGTTCAATATACGAGTATTGTTGCACCCCTAATATATATATATATATATATATATATGTAGACTTTTCCAAGTGTGGTAGTCCTGATTTTAGCTCTGATCATTTATTTGATTTAGAGCTTTATCATAAATTCAACTGAGTTAAATTAAAAAACAAACCAAAAGGCTCATATTTTGCACAATGCCTTTTCCCACTTTCCCTTATTCCAGCTAATAAAACAGGGGAGATTTCGCTTTGTTCCTTCGCACTTTGAAGGTGAAGACGTTCAACAGACAAGTTCACAGATTTTCTGCAAGAAGGGCTTATTAATTACTGATATTTTAGCTTGTGTTTTTACACAAGTCTGGCAGATACTATTTCAAGCAGTGAAGCCTCAAGGGGTGACGATATACACTTTGCTACCCTGCACAGGTCCTGTATTAGTCATACCTGACAGTTATGGTGCACAATTAGCTCCCATTAATGGCTTTTTCTGAAGGAATGCATATTCTCTGGAGCATAGCCCTAAAATAGCACAACCGCATTAATTTCACTAATAAGCCACTTTTGATGTCACTGCTTGCTGTCAAACCAGGCAAGTAAACAATCCATTTACACACATCCTTGGGTCTGTGAAATTTTTAGGCTAAAATGTAACTCTGTTCTCATGTGCTAATGACGAGTGAATATCTTTCCATATTCTCTACATGAGGAAGTTTGAAGTTTGGGGTCCGAGCTGCAGTTTAATTCAAAAACCCCAAAGTTTCTTTTGAATGTTGTCTTTGACTGCCTTTATGGGTAAACAATCATCTTCTGACTAAAATAAGTCAGAAACGGACCACAGTGCACTCTTAAGGGGTTTTGAAGACAGGATAATGTATCTGTATATGTTTAGTCTGATAACCTTTGACACCTTTTTGACCACTTGTCCCAAACTTAACTCACAAGCTACCGATTGCAGTGTATGCACACATGACCATCACTGTACCTATAGTGAAAGTTTGTTTTCATCTCACGGAGAAAGTTTTATTGCTGATAGCGATGAAGATACTTTGTGTTTCGTAGCGTGTCATTCAAATGATGTGTTTTTAGCTGGCTTCTTTGGCAACATGGTATTGTGCAAAGTGTTACAACAATACGTAAGTTTTAATGCTGTTATTTCTTTTTTTTTTTCCTCATTGTGATGAGCTACACATCCATGCAACAAAGAAGTTTGCTGAATGCCAGGTTGATAGTGATCTCTTCGTGTCGTGCTTTTAAGCCGCGTTAAAGAAAAACAATGTTGTTACATTATCTTTGGGATTTCTTTCCTATCTTGTGTGACGGCAACATGTACATATTGCAAATAAAGACATGTTCAAATGTAATGACAAATAAATCGGGAAGGATGGCCTTTCTTTGAAGCAAAAATTCTTTCTCTGATTTTTGTAATGTGAAGTTCTATAGTTGGATTCATATGTGAAAAGCCCTTCGCAATCTGAAGGAATTGGCTGAGCAATTGAGATGCTTGAGTTGTTCTTAAAGCAAAAGCAAACACAGACTGAGTCATGGGGTGTAGGTGGTTTTGCCAGAAAGAGACAGAGGAGCAGCTTTGAAATCTGTATAACTGCACCATTCTCTTTGCTGCATGCAGGAAAGTACATTTCCCTTTGTGTTGTCAACCATTATGGTTATTGAACAGCAGAGCTGTTGCCTACCCAGCTCAACATTTCACACAGTGAACAAAATGCCAACAGAGCAAGCTAACATTTCCCACATGGTGTCCTATTATTGCGGCAGTCACTTTGACAAAGAAGAGCAATGATGTTATATTCTGTTGTGATTGTTGGTTGTGGTGCACATTATCAATGGCTCTAAACTTTTTTTTTCTGTTGTTGTTGTTGTACATACCCCCACAGTGTATCAGATGAGCACAACGGGTGTGGTGCAGCCCGCAAACACCACTTTACTTGTTTGTTTCCTAAAATATGAATACTGCTGGCTTAAAAAAAGCAGATTTTTTTCATCTATCTCCACGACTTTTAACTTGTCAAACTGTGTCCCTTCTTTAATTTATGGTGGTTTAGTAAAAAGGCAAATAGCGATTGTCTGCACTTTTCTTCTTTGGTATTGTCACAAAGAAGAAAAGGTCACCAGCATCACCAGGGAGGCAAATTTGAAAGTCTGACTGGCCAGATCATACCTTCGGCAGAGCGTGGCCTCATCGAGCATGAGTTTTTCTATTATAGTCAATAGGTTTACAGGGTGAGGATTTTGGGAAGTGCTGCATTATCTGCAATTTATGCATCACAAACTGCTCAGCAGACTACATTTATCACACATAGTTTTGAAAATGTTTGCAAATGGTGAAGTCAAA